TTGAGCTTCTCTACTCCCTATCTCTGTCATTTCTTCGATGCTACGACAACATAGAATCTCAACAACTACTCGATCTCTCACGTACTCTAGCGCACTCACGTGCAACATGGCTTGTCGAAGGGAGCCAATCTTGCACGTAGTAATCTTAACCGTCTCTACATGTTACACACCTTCCCAAACTTCTAACTCCCTTGTGAATGAATCTACACTCCAATGTAGTGAACATTCATGGTGTAGACTTGCTGTCGTTCGTGTTGAGCCGCGAGGGCCGCATTGTACTGCAACCGTGGGGTTAAATGGCTTCCCAAGTCGGTCAATAGTTTCCCAATGTCGGTCTGGTCTTTCTCTCTCAAATCATCTGTCTTCCTCGTACCCCCTTGTGATCCTACTCACACTTGCTGCCTGTTTTGCGTCCATCCATGCCACTTTATTTCACATGAATGCAGATAACTCTAGAGTATTTGTGCACATAACTACTAACGTCCACTATGACGTGTGTTCAGACTATTATTTGCACCGTTTGATACCCATGGTCGATCGATCTCTCAGTCTTTTCGAGCTCCATTACTGCTAACACATCACCTCCATGACCTCTCGATCGAGTTTTCTTCAACCCGTTATTTCGGTGTTTACGGTTGAATGGAAATTATTATTTGAGATGTTTTAAATCTTTTTAGAAATATTACCAGTTATTTATCGGTAAACTGGAGACGGAACATTTTTATTTAACGATTTTTAAAGGTTTTTTTTTTGGGAATGAAAAATTCAGGTGTCTACCTTTTTTTATTGAACAGGTGTCTACCTTTAGAGGCTAAATACCACAAAAAACAATTAGGTGTATGACTTCTAAGAATTATGTTTTTGTGCACCTGAGTCTATTAAATTTTTAGTAATTGGCTCTTTCTCACGATACAATATAAATAAATAATTGTCTGATTGTGATAATTTGAATATTTAAAATTAACTAAATATTGATAATTTATTACTTTGACTTTAAAAAATATGAAAAAATTCAAACCTTGAGTTTCATTTTGTTTTTAATTGCACCGAAAAAAGTACTGGATGCTTTTGATTTTCAAAAATAAAAATTGATTGATGGATAAAAGATTGCAAGTCTTTTAGATTTTTCAAAAGCAGAAAAATGGATCTTCCTAAGTAATTTTAAAGAAAATTACGTTCGTAAAAAATTTTCAACATCTGGTAAAAGCATTCTGAAGAGAATACTTTTAGTTTCAAAATAGTTTCAGTGATCGTGGTGCGATCATTTCTTTCCAAGTTATAAGAACTCAAAGTCAAAAGTAAGTTTTTTTTACTTTGAAAGCTTACGTAACTCGGTTAAAAATGATCGAAGGATAATTTTCAAAAATACATGATAAAGTAGAGATTCTTTGCTCTAAATAGACCAGCTTTATTTTTTAACTCCACATAAACCTAATTTTCGGAAAAATTAAAAATCAATTTTACTTACTTTTTTATATTTATCAGAATTTGGTGGGAGTTAATAAAAAATTTCAACGCAACTCTTTGAAGTATCTCAAGTGAGCTTTAAAATGCTATGTGGTTCATTAAAATGTAGCTATTTTAAAGTAAAATACTGCTCTCTAAAATTACTTGAATATTTCATTTTTCCAGTAATTTCTCGATTTTTATCTGCATTAAAAAAAAACTAAAACTGCATTCATCGATAAAGCATTCTTTCTATCAATTTATTTAGCATATCCCAAGTTTATTAAATGACTTTAAAAAAATTATTTTCAATAAATAAGATCAATTAATAAATAACAAATAAAAGCATCATAATAATTCTTTTAATGTTATAAAAAATAATTTAAATTGATAATTATATATTTTAAATAAAGTTTAAGAAGTAATTTGAATTATTTTCCGCTAGTAATTCTAAAAATGCAAGCTATGATTTTCTCTCAAACGCAATTTGTCATCAGCATCTTTCAACAAGTGTTACCCTAGCCATTTGTCCTCCCAACTATTTGAAACATTGAAAAAATCACTCTCACTTTTAGATGAATGCAAGTCAATCGAATCATGTCAAACGATGGAATTAAATGCAGTACTACAAAGTCGTTAGAGTGGAAACAAGAGTTTGTTAAAGTCAAAAGTGAATTTATGTCAAGAGAGCTTGCAAAGAACTCTCTCGAGTGTCTCTCAATTGACCGAGAGTCCATGTCGGCTTGTCGGTAACTAAAGTCGCATAAGTCAACTGCTTCTGCTTTTTCTGTCTTCCTTTATCTTGGGGGAAAAACGACTAAATAAAGATGGAAGAAGTACAAGTTGTAGTCTCAGAATTTCCCCCTACTCCATCCTCCTCCTTTCCTTCCTGTTGGCAAAGTTATGAATGGAGCGTAGTTTACTACACGTACCATTAGGCAATTAGCCTGTGGTTCTGGCTGATACTCACCCATTTTGGCATCCGTGTGCGTGGCCCCAGGGTATAGACCAAAAGGAATACGAATGAATGGTATGTACGCCTATTATAGCTCTTTCTCGCTTCATGTTACGTAAGGTCAGTTTCATATATCTCCCCCACGAATCCGTTTTATTCAACGAATAGTCTCACTCACCATTTCTAAATAAATCTTCTATGGTGGAATGTCAGCCCAACTCGAGTCCCCTCAAGTTCAGACCGAGAAAATAATGACTTTAACTCAATTATTCATCTCCGAAAGATTATACGGAAACTGATGCGTGAATCAATTATCATTTTTTTCCATTTTCTCTGTAATCATCCGAGTATGTAATTTATATTAAATTCCAAAAATAATCATTTACAATTATTAAATAATTTTTTTCTAAAATCACAATTTAAAAAATGAATTAACATTTTCATTCTATGAATTCGTTGCTAACAACAAATTATTTTTTCCTTTCAATTAGACAATTATTCTATTTAGATTCCTTAATAAATAAATCAAGAGTAAATAGTGTTGTAAATGGGTAAAACTTCGTCACATGAATAACTATGAGAAACTATCTTATTTTATCCTGAATTAATTTTTCTTTTTAATGGATGACATATTTTCTTCTAGACTTATAAAATGACTCAAAAATGAAGTCTTTACTTCAACTTCATTTATCAGCAACCATTAAAAATTTTTTTGTGCTTATATCATCAAAGGATATAAAATAATCAATAATTATTATCCAATCTCTAGTGAATGATCGATAATATAATCAAGCTCATAAAATAATATTCATGGCTTCCCGATCACATAATTATAATTATGACTTATCCCAGTAATTATCTGAAAATCACGTAATAACCGAAGGCGTTTTCTCGATAATTAACTAAGAGGCAATGGCACGTGCCACGTTAACAGTTTCCCTCTTTCTCCCATTTTCTCTAGGCTCTCGAAGGGTTGCGTCAGGTTAATTAACGTATGCACATGGCCGCTCTCACGCAACAACGAAATAAGAGCAAGACAAGGATAGCTTTACAAATGTAGTGAGTGGCTTTAGTGGTGGCAAGCACAGTGCAGACGACAGGTTATTAGTCTGGCGTGGGTCTCTGGCACAGCAAGCGAGAATAATAGGCAAGGTGTGACATTGCCCCAGAGTAAGACTCGTGCCAGTGAGAATACCCATCATAATCACCGTTGGCGGCTCTTTTGCTTATGCCTGAAGTCACTCGCTTACCTTCATCATGTACATACACCCATTGGCATGTCATTGTAATGTAGGTCTAGTCGTTGAAGACTATTTTGTCCTCGACAGGTGTCGCGTGCGACCCACTATTGTTTCTCAATGAAATGCCTCTTCTCACTAGCAATCTCTCTGGTGCTTATCCCTCTTCGTCCTCTTTCTCAATTGCAGAGAAAGATAGAAAGCAAACGTGGAAGATGTAAGCCAGGGACTAAATCTTTGCAGCCAAGGTATATACTATACCCCAGACTCCGGAATCTTTATCCTCGTCGGGTAAATCAAATGCTTTAGTCTCTCTTTCTCTTTTCCCCCTTGTCGTCCCCCAATGTCTCGTGGAGAACACGATGAGAATATACCAGGAATCAAAGAATTTATCTTTAGATCTCGAGATACTCTTGTCGATATACATCCCTGGAACAAATCTTGGAGACTGCTTGATACCCTACTCCACTATGTTTACCATCGTCTCTCATGCTCTTTCGAGATTTATGTTCTGTTTAATTTGAAACGTCAGCCAGGATGAAAAGAGAATATGAGTCAGTGGAGCAAACAAGACAAAGTAAGACTAACAAAAACGTCTTTCTTACTCTCCTGTCAAGTTATCCAGTTCCTTCTTTTGCTCATCTATACCTGCCTTCAAGGATCACTAGCACATGCCCCAACATGTACATACCACTCTGTGGAATGTTCTGTGGTTCCGCTTCTGTAACTGTCAAACCAACCAAAGTGCAAACGAACCGAGAAACCTCAAGTCTATAAAACTTATCAACACCTTTTTTTACAGCTTTTAAAAAACACATGACAAGTGCACTGATTGTTTTATCCATCAGTAATTCATGTAAACAGCATAACTAATCTATATTTATAAAGCAGTATACAAGTAACATAATATGTGGTAGTGTGTTGTAAATATCCACTTTCCCTTTTTCTTTCTTATTTATTCTGCAAGAGTGGGGTCAGGTTCACGGAAGTCATTCACACTTTGCTTTCTCCAGAGCATAGAGAAATGCCATATGCTTGCAGCAATAATAAAGCGAACACCTATATGTGGGATAGATGCTACCTACAGATGTAGAGGCGGAAGATTAAGTGTTGACAGCAAGTGTAAACCCAAGAGATAAATGCAACTTGAGTCAAGCAAAATTGAAGATCAGGTCACCGGAACTTTAGACTTGAGGATAACTAATTTGAATCCTTTCATGGTCACTCGGTCAATAAACTTATTTTTATCCAATTAAAACTTGCAACCCCTTCATTATCATCAGTTTAAATATGTAAAACAAGTTTAAATATTTAATTAAGCTGTTCATAATAAATTTACATAATGGTAATTTTCTTTTTCAGGTGAAGAAAGATGAAGCAAATGTTAGCCTGGAAATGGATTTGTAAAGCATGCTGGTGATGGTGAGTGACTTTAAACTAATTTGAAATTCAAGGCTTCCCCCAGTTTGTGAGGGTCTGGATCAGCTGACTATAGTTGTCTACGTCTTAGATGCATATCCATTCATACCCCTTTTGCTTTCTTCCTCCTCTTACCTCTCTCTGCTTTTGCACTACTCGAACGTTGCATTCCTTGTGCCGCTGGCATCCCTCCGCGAGTAAGCCTCTTCCATTCACACGTATACCAACGCACCCACTCATTCATTGACGGGTAGTCTTTTATCCTTTTTTTTTATCCGCTCTATAATCCATCTTCACGCTTCTTTTATTTCTCATACCCCTGTACTTGACTAACGTATAGATATACCAGCTCTATTGTGGTGAAGCCACATCGTGGAGGGTTAAGTAGGCGTCTAACAATGTTCACTGGATTAAAGTTCATACAGACATCTTGTTCGTTGACAAGTCATGTGACATTTATGGTTGACGTCAACTTTTTAGCTGACTAATTTAATTTTTTACAAAGAGGTCAAAATTTACATGAAAATTGGAGTAAGTTTGTGATGAAGCTTTGGAAAATATTTGTAATAAAGGGGATGTAATAGTGGAAGTTATTTTGATGCTGATGATTATTAATGAATTTTATTTATCAGCTGAGAAGTTGGTTTTAATAATAAAACTTTTGTAATTTAATTCAATCACATTTATGAAAAAATACTCACATATTTTTATCAGTGATTTGTAATAAAAATAATTAAAGAAAAGTAATTGAATTAATTTTTTTTTATTTAAAAATTTGACAAATTAATGGACTAATAATACATGTAGTATCTTCAGTGTTGTCAGTCTAGGTATTATTGTTGAATATCAAGCTTTGTTTCCTTCCAACAATTTTTGTTTTTTCATTTGTAATTGATAATAAAAAATCGTTATTGTAATTAATTGTTTTTACAGTTAATTGATTTATTTTTAAAGCTGAGATTTAACAGAGGTAACATATGATATTTTTTTCCTTCTGAGCAAGCACTAGAGTACTTTAAATCAGGTTAAAAATGAATCATTGACGTCTGTTGAGAATAAAATGACTCATTTAACTCTGCTGTGAACATAACATGTTTGCATTCATAATGAAGCAAATAGCAAGAGCATAGGTTTCTCATCTTATATTTTTTGTTTTGGTGAATTTTAAAATCTCACATCAAGTATCTTAGCTTTGTAGCAAATTGTCATTCAGTTTTAAAACGTCTTAAAAATCTCACTATTAAAATTTTTTATTTATACCCAAGGAAAAAAAATTCACTTCAATTTTTATTCAAAATTCTCTACACTCTCTTGGGTATGCTGGGATACTTCAAATTAATATTTATTGTTTGAAGAGTCTATTGTCATTTTTGGAGAAAGTTCAGCCACTGGAAATTTAATTTGTACAGTCGGAATATATTAGCTAACAAAAAAGAGCTTAATGTTTTATAATAAAAATTCTTACTTTTTTTTTAATTCGATAATTCATTATTATAGAATTGAAGAACAAATGTATTAATAATATTAATAAAGTTTTAATTTTTTTTATAATATATGTTGTAGAAAATACATATTGTTTTACAACTTATGTGGAATAGAAATAAAAATTATTTTTAAATATTATTAAAGATAGATTTGAAAAGAATTGTATTATAATGAATCATCAAACTAATTTGTTTTATCAATAAAAAAAAATTTAACGATTTTCAAAGCTCTTTGCTATTTTCGTGTCCCAATAAATAAAAAGATTGAAGTTTTTATAGAAATTAAATTATCGAACTGACTTAAAATTCAAAAAAAATTTCAAAAGAGGATATTTTTTCTCCAAACAAATCTCATTAGATTCCTTATAAAAAAAATTATTGTACTTCATTTTAACTTGCATTGCAAAAAAAGAAACTTCAAAATCCATTTTTCAACAAAGAAGTTTTTTTAAATGGAAAAAAAATTCAATAAAATACTATTGAATCTTCCCTAAGACCTTTTAACAGTTCTAAAAGTTTATTTAATTAGGGTCTTATCATTTCACTGATATAATTCCTATTGAAGATAATCAGCACTCATCTCTCTAAAACGTCTTCCCACACCAATTAGCCGATGGTACAACTTCGATGTGCTTTTTACTACTCGAGCAGCAGAAGTAGGAGCAAAGTTCCATTCTCTGAAAGATCGGTCGTATAACGGCTTTTATCACCGGATCCTTTTATATAACACGGGCCACTGGAGAAGCTCAGCTGATAGGAAGCGTAAAAGGGATAAAAGTTGAGCTTGACCCTCGAAGTAAGGGCGATTAAGAGTTGGAGGGATGAGTAGCGGAAGTGAATGGTATTGAGAGATTTTCGTGATTCCAGGAGAGTGGGTTAGAAGCAGATGGGTCTAGCCTGGTTTCTGGAGTAGGTCAAGTTCAAGCGGTCGTAACCAGTAGTTTACGCTGATTCGATTTACGTCGTTAACCCCCACAGGTCTCTCAATGTGTAATCCTTGCAAACTCGGAGGGTGCAACGCTCACCGCACTCTACTCTCAACGCTATTAATCAGTCAACGTGGATCACTGAATTCTACTCTTGTATATATGCACCCTCGTTCTCCTCTGTATCAGCATGTTGGTGGCCATTCACCAAGCAATTGGCAACGGATTGTATACTATATCGATTAACTCAGAAGCAAATCCACTGACCACCGATTAGACTTCTCTCCTGTTTGTGTGTATACATAAATGCTTTAAATGTATAGTAGCAAGTGTCTATTACACTCGTGGAAACACAGAGTACACAGTGATAGTAGTGTAGGTGGGCACCAATGGAATTCCCAACGGGTCGGTGACCATTAAGAGTGAGAGTGCCGCAAGATTTCAGTCATTTCCTCGTTTACCCACTGTACACTGGGTCAAGTTCAATCGAGGGGAACTTCAGGAGAGTGAGAGGCATTTATAGGACGAGAGACGAAGGGAAGCAGAGGACGAACTGACATCACAAAGCGGCCGAACGCGAGAGGCAGATTGAGAGAACGTGCCGCGTTATTGAGGCAGGAAGAGAAAGAGATGGAGAAATTGTGACAGAGAAAGAACCAAGTCGTTCTTCCGTTACTATATAAACCATCGATCGATTTTCTATTGAGATAACAGGTAGGCAGGCAATCAGCAAACTTCCAATGCCGGATTAAACTCTTTCTCTTTCTTCACAGTATTCAACTCCCTTTCCGGTTTCGTTTCTTTCCCGCACTCATCACGCCTGGCAAAATGTAGGTGAACTTGTGCGCCACGTGCTCAAGATAAACTATACGATGGTTAAATTGATGCTCCGTTTCTGCCTTCATTACGTGCTTCTGCATTCTTGTGAGAACACGAACTGAATTTTAAATTTATAAATAGTCGGATGTTTACTGTAATGCTAGTGAGTAGTTTTTTTGTGTTGGAGATACTTGAGGTAAAGGTAGTGTATACATTTGAAATGCTAAGAGCTTTTAATAGGGTAAGATGGCCTATTTTTTTTAAGCTGCTAAGATTCTTATGTAATTGGGGTAATTGAGCTTGATTTGATCGGTTTGTTTTTAACTTTTTGCATTTTTTTAATCATCCAGACTTTTGATCTTAAATATTTACGATAATTACTTTACTTTCTTTCAGACAATTACAAATATTTTCTGAATCACTGTAGTTCCTGCTACAAATAATCAAACTTCAATGAACTGGAGTATGGATTGACGTATATCATTATTCTAAAATCTGTCATAGACTTTTTAATATTCTTCAATTCTACATGAAAAAATTTGAAAAGTAAAGCCTCATTATTTTTTCGAAAACTCTCGAGTACTTTTGTTGAAAATCTCTTGTTTACTTGAAATCAAAATCTTTCTATCATAATCTGGAGCTTTCAAGATCATTAAAAAATTTTCTATTGTTTGTAATAATTAATTAAAATCACACAAGATTAGTCCAGTAACATTATAACTGTATCATTTCTTAATTAAGCCTGTTTTAATCCAAACAGTTATACTACTTTTATTGAATTTTTAATCAATTACATAAAATTACAATTGTTAATTTAGAGAAGTCCTAATAAAACAACATTAAAGTTTCTAACAATTTCAACAAATAGAATATCTTCAACTTCACTTCAAAAATAAATTCAACATTTCAATAATTACTAATGATTTCACTTCAAACTTGACTCCAAGGTAGCATTGAAGATAAAAATTTTGGTATCAGTCAAGATAAGCAAATAAATGTTTAGATGTGATTGAGTAAAAAGTTATATGGTTACTCAATCAAAGTGTTAATATCGTGAAGCAGATAATGTAACATGTTAATTGATGACCATTAATGTCTTCTTTCAATTTAAGATTCTTTTTCTTATCGATCGTGATCCACGCCGAGTGATTCTCGGCACGTGTTTGAGACTCAAGTTACTCTCATGCTCGTATGCCACACTCGTTCTTATCTGTGGTGATCACTACTCACGCGATCGGCCCGTTAGTTCACTTTTACGTTTCAATTAAATTCACTCTTGTCGTTTGCTCCAATTTTTTTCTGCTGTCTTCTCTTATTCATCTTATTCTCGCAGTAGGTTTCACCTTTCTCTTTATTCACGCTGGATTATAACGGGATGGGATTTTATTTAGTGGAACATGAGAGACAAGGATGGTATGAAGAGACGATGGAAATGAAATTTGTAGCACGTGTGTAAGAGTGTTAAAAAGAAGAGAATAACGTGGCTGAACACATTTTGTCCCTTCGTGTGTCTGGCAGTTTGTCAGTAGGTCAAGTTTACGGTGGAGAATAGAATAGGGTAATTGTGGTAATAAAAGAGACAGAGTTAACGTCGTTTGTTGTGAATAAAAAAAGACAACTGGCAGGTGGAATACGTATTCAAAGCCATTGTTGGGTTACTAATGAACCTATCAATGTCTTATTGAGCCATCAATTCTTCTCTTTCCAACACAATGCACACTTGCCAGAGAGCCATGAACTTTTTTCCTTATTTATGCTCTTCTCTCTGTCTTCT